GACTCACAATAAAAAATCTAATATTTTCTCTCTTTTGCAAGAAGAAAAAAAAAGGAGTGAGTGGGTGTTAAAATTTAATTAATTTGCTTTCTGTTTTTCTTTAGAAAAAACCTATACATTAATCGTTTGTTTTTCAAATTTTTGTTTACTAACACTGAAATTTTATTACAGCTGATTGTCCATATTTGGACATGGTTTTGTAATGTTTAATTCTGTAGTGAGTTTAGAAAAAATTTCTGATAGTTATTTTTAACTGCATTTCTACAGATGCCTTACTCTTCAGAATTTGAACACAAAGTGAAAAAAACAACAGATTCAACTTCTTCCATTTTGTATCGATGTTAGCATGCTTGATGTTTCTTTTTCTTTTTAGAAGTATTTAGATAGTGCAAGATCTAATATGTTTCTTTTAGGCTTGATGGCCCCCTACCAAAGGAAGTAAGCAGTTTTCACTCACCAAGAAGGAAAAGATTCCCTCACTTTATGATGACCTTGTACTTGACCGTCAAAGAGAACCTAAAAGAAATCGGGACATTCCATTGACCACCATTTACAGAATTGTCCATCAGATTCAAGAAAGATCAGCAGCTAGAACAACTGAATTTGTCAGAAAAATAATTCCTTCAATTTAAGTGACAAATAAAACTGACATTAGCATATGTATTAGGCAGATTTTTGGCAAGTATATGCAATATTATGGAAAACTCTTTAATCCAGTTGTTGGCTATAAAAAAAACTCTGATAAGCTGACTTTTTCTGCTTCTGATGGATAAACTTATGATCATGGATGACAGCTGTTAAATTGGCAAGAGAAAAGTAGTTGAAGAATTCTAGTCCTAAGCTTCCAATGAAGAAGTCTTCTATACAAAAGTAAAAGATGGCAATGAAGAACTCCAGGATACACATTGGAATTTGTGCATTCAATAAACATCTTCAAATATCACCAGAATCTCTTTATTTTTTACTCTGAAGCACTTTACTCTGATAGGATTAGAAGCACTATAGAAACGCTATCAGCACTTTGCTTACCTAGTAAATACATTTTAGTGACACAATATCAAAGGAAACTTTCTTAGGTCTAAAATGTTTTTTTACAAGTACTGAAAAGTTATGAGTTTAACCAAAGAGCCATAAAATTTACATGGTATTTTACATATTTACTGTACAATTGAAAACATTTGGTATATTAAATATTCTCAAGTTTCTTTAACCCTTTCAAAAATCCTGATGTTTGGTCATTAAGACATTGATTTAGGGAAATGAGTCAAGCTGATAACTTTTCATCAACCTTTAGAAGTGTCAAAAGCTGGAGTTCCTTTTGTCATTATTAATCAAAAGGATATGATATTGACAAAAAAAAAAAAAAGACTTACATCTCCAAAACCCTATCCGATTCCAAATTAAGTCTTTAAATCAGTTTAAAAAAACAATTTACATTTGATTAATTAATCTAGATACCTCCAAAAATTTTCTGCAAAAGAGCATACCATGATGAAAAAGGCCCTAAACTTGATAAAAAAAGTTTTATCATCCAAATGTTTATGTTATTATTAAGATGAAAGACTAAAGTATTTTTGATCATTTAATAAAAATGATCAAAAATACTTTAGTCTTTAGTCTTAAAGGTTTTTTAATCCTTTCTAACACATTCAAAATTTTGGTTAAAAATCTTGTTTTTCTTGTATCAGCAGGTGTGCCAAAGATTAATAATGGAAATTTAGCATGTTTTTCTTGCAGTAAAAACATTGTTTTGGAAATTCTTGAAAAAAATCAAATAATTGGTGGATTTTAATGAAATTTTCAGGATTTACAGTTTTGAAATAGAGCAAATATTTTGTTTATTGGGAATATTAAATTTAATCTGTTAGCTTGAAATTAAAACTAAAATAAAAACTTCAAGAAAGAATTTTCATTTTTAAAAATTCAACTTAAACTTTAGGTATCACATTTTCTGTGGTGGTACCTACATTAATCTCTTTGAAATTTCATGAAAAATTTTCTGATTATAATTGCTGATCCATTCTACAAACTTTTTCAGGTGTATTATCTATAAGGTCATCTCTTTTTTTTACTGAAAAATTTTGAGAAATAAAAAAAATGGTGATTAATAATACCTATGACCTGAAGACTTTGAGGTTACTCTCCTAGCTTGATGAAACCTGTATGTAATTAATTAAAGTAGATAGGTTCACCTATCATCTGCTTCACACTCCTCTCTAGTCTTTTGAACAGGAGTAGAGGCTTATCCCTTGTTTCCTGTTTAGGATTGGGTTTTTGGTTTAGGATTGGGTTTCCAGTTACTTCTAGAGTGTTCTCATTCACTTTTGCTCCCAGTAATCCCTTGCGTCTTTGTGGCATTATCGTCTTGCCTGGGGTGAATTGATTTAAAAAAACAGTAGGGCCAGCACTGCACACACTGTACTCCACTTGAGAAAACTCTGTTGCACAGGCCTGAAAGACCAACCCCACCAACATTCATAAAGCACTGAAGTGATGAAAAAGGTGTGAAAACAGCAGGTGGAAGATGTCACTGGTCCAGGTGTATGGTTTGTCTGATGTGAACCTCAGAAGTGATAAAACCTTTTGGCAACTCTTTAAATAATCCAACAGCATTTCCTAGGAACAACAGTGCTTACTCCATGTGGAGAGGGGTCTGGAAATGGTTGCCTAATCGAAGCTTGTTTCTGTTTTGTCCAGTTGAGCATCAACATTGCTGATCTCAGTGAAGTCCACTTCTTAGAAGAAGGCAGTCTTCAAGAACTCAATGTTAGTTACACTCTTTACTGGTCAGCCAGACCAAAATCTGAATGATGCCTGTCAGGGGTAGGCTTTATAATCAGAAACCCTATTGCCTCCAAACATGGAAACTCAACCAATGGATCATTTTGGCCACATCATGTTCCATCTACTTTGTAACAACCAGCATGCAATGCACTTCAGCATGTATTCTTCAACTCTACATGTAGAACCTGCATAAAAGATCAAGTCCTACACTAACCTGCACAATCTCTTGTAGAACACTACTGCAGATGACAAAATCTCCATCCTTGGTGACATCAACTCCAGAGTAGGCTGATGTAGTATATTGCTGCTGGGCTCAAATAAGGTGATGATCATGTATATATAAACTATATAAATATTTTGTGTTGCGACGAATGAGTAGAGTGAAGGAGAATAACAGAAGTTAGGATTGTGCACACAGGAATTGACGGAGACAAGTCTTTGGTGAACCTCTAGCCAGCCTCTCTGTCCAGATCAAGAATTGGACAGTTATATAACATTTGGATACCTACACAACTTTATGTGGTTACATCTTTTTCCAGTATGTCACCTATGCACCTCTTCCGGCATGTGCCCATGAAATCACACATTTCCTTCCACTCAGGACATTCAAAGCTCATGACACCTGTACATCCTGTTCATTTTATCCGCTGGATGCATTTCCAGTTTATGCTATCACTAGTTCCAATTTTTGCTCACACACTGATGCAGCAGAAGTAAGGCAAAAGGTCTTTCCTCAATTAATATCCAACATTGATATACAGAAATTTGGAAAGGAGCATTTGATAAACATGGTATTAGAAATTGTAATAATAATTATAATAACAACAGTTAGCTGGAGTTCTGTGGAGAGTAGCAGCTGGCAAGCACTAACACACTCTACCAGCAGAAAGACATCCTTAGGCATCTCCTGCCCACATCCAAGCATCAAGATTGTCATCCTCTCTCCCTATTTCCTTTCTCTCCCCTGGTAGTGGTGGTAGAGATGGCTGTGATGGCCCAACCTACTCTTGAAGAATTGTGAGCAGGGGTCACAGAGGAGGGTGAGTGGTAGACGTGGCTGGGTGAGTCAGGCCCTCCTGACAGCACATTGCAGATCTTCTTCATGCTGACAGTCAGATTCGAAAGTCTCAGTCTCCAATGCCAGGAAGGCTGATTTGCAACAATGGTTTCCCAGGTCTCAGGGTCAATATTGGACTGTGTCAAGGATGTCTTCAACTGATCTTTGAAGCATTGTTTTGGGTCTCCGCATAGCCTCTTGCCACTTGCGAGTTCTCCAAATAGGTTGATGTGTGGGAGTAAAGTAGGATGCATTCTGGACATGTGACTTAAAGACAGCCTAAAGACAACCTGAATGCATCATTGTTCTAAGCACTGGCATTTCATGGATTGCATTGTGGTACTCTCAAGAGATTTCAAGAGATTTCAGAGATGTCTTAGTCACTAGAGTGATACCAAGTGCAGAGTGTTATATAGATCATAGTCTCACTACAAACTCAGTCTTCACTTCAGACCCAAGCCTAAGAGAAAGGTCAGAAACCAGGTTAACAATCACAGTCAGCTTAGGTGATAGCTGATTTTCAGGCAAATCTTTGGGCAAAGCTCAAGGATCCCAACTGTCCATAGAACCTTCTCCAGAAGTGTTTCAGGAACAACTCAAAGCTACCATACTAGAGACCTCTGAAGAGATTGTGGGCTTTTCCACCAAAAAGAACAATGATGGACTTGATGAAAACAGTAAAGAGATCCAAGAACTGTGGGTAAAAAAGAAATTAGCACAACAAAATATGTCTTGCTTGACAATCTCGTACTGTTAAGAAACAACCTTCCACCTCGCTTGCATTAATGTCCACCTCAAGCGTCACATGATCCAGAATGAGTGATGAACTAACTTTATGGAAAGAACTCAACACCGCACAGACACTGGTAATCACAGAGAATTCTATGAATCATTTGAAGTAAAATATGTCCCTTCATACTAGGTTCAGACTCATTTGTACAGTACAGATAATCAGGGACTTATTACAGACAGCATACCAATACATTCAGACTCTCTTCAGGACTTATAGCCACATCACATTGAAACATAATTTTTCATATGATCACTGAAGTTAAGCAACATTGGGCCAGGTCAGTACCTAGATGAGCAACTGCTTGGGAATACCAGATATTGTAAGCTAGAATGTTTGGGCAGTATAAAGGGCTTACAGGCACATTACATTGAAACATTGGTTCCCATATGATCTCTGAAGTTAAGCAACATCAAGCCTGGTCAGTACTTATATGGATGGCCGCTTGGGAATAGCAGGTGCTGTAAGCTTGGATGTGCAGGTGGTATAAAGGGCTTGTGGCCACATTATGTTGAAATGCTGGTTCCCCTATGATTCCCAAAGTTAAGCAACATTGGTCAGTACTTAGATGGGTGACTACTTGGGAATGCTGTAAACTAGGATGTGCAGGTGGTATAAAGGGTTTACAGACACATCACATTATAACAGTGATTCCGATATGATCACTGAAGTTAAGCAATGTTAAGCCTGGTCAGTACCTACATGGGTGATTGGGAATATAAGATGCTCTAAGCTAAAATGTTTGAGCAGTATAAAGGGCTTATGTTGAAACATTGGTTCATGTATGATCACTGAAGTTATCGTTGAGCCTGGTTAGTAACTAGAGAGGTGACTGCTTGGGAATACCAGGTACTTTAAGCTTGGATGTGTGAGTGGTGTAATGGATAATGGCTCAGAATTGTTAATTGGAGAGCCAAGTCCCAATTCCAGTTGGGTTTGTTATATTCACTTACATATAGATATCCTTGGGAAAGGTATGAATTCTCCCCCAGCTATGGGCTAATTAGTAGGACTAGTACCACTAAAACTATTATTATCTCCAAGCTTATAAAAAAATATGCATATAAAAAATTGCTGATGCAAGTCCTACTAATTAAATATTGTCAAAAGTGAAGGTAGTTAATATAAAAATGGTTTAATATATTTTGTGAGCACAAAGGTCCATGTTTGCCCTAGAATAGTAATCTTAATCTGTATCTGGTTTTCATAGTAACAAAATTGAATCATCTAACAGAAAAATATATATAAATAAATTATTAATTTCAGGGCATGCTGATGCTACATGGAAGCCACCATTTTGTTTAAGTTGATTCAATAACATAATGAATGACTAACTGGCATAATGGGATGTAATTATAAGCAAATGCACGTGTTTGGCTGACTAGATCTGTTCACTGTCTGCAAAGAGTTAAAAAACGTTATCACCAAAAGTGTTACCTTATTATTTTGAATCTATGATATCAAAATATAAAGTTTTATTTCAATCAGTCAGATTCACACATAGTTGATACATGACTGACGAGGCAGATTTCCCCCGCAGTAGGTTGCCATTTCTTTCTGCAGTAGACCAGTTGCCATCCAAGGCTATAGAACCCAGTCTGTCCTACTATTTACCCATAGCTGGGGGGAGAAGAAGAGGATTCATACCTTTCTCAAGGGTATTAGCATGTAAGTGAATGTAATGGATTTGACTGGAATTTGAACTCAGCTCTCGGATTCCTCAATCCGAGCCACTATCCATTACTCCACACCAGGGACATTTGCTTGCTGTTTCAAAATAATCTCTATAAGTAAAAACATTTAATTTTTTTGCTTCCATCATACATATAAATTTTAATACATGTAATTACTAGTTTTCCATCCAGTACTGAAAATGAATATAGCAGCCATTCTTTGGTTATAAGTAAAGATATCAATTAGTCTATAAATTAATGGTTAAAAAGCAATTATTTCTCACAAAAAATATTTTTATACATAATTTCTTTTCTTGTCAAGGCATATAATTCCGTGATGGATATTAATCATATAAATACAATATTTGTAGTATGTGATTGATGTCAGGAAATATAAGATGAACTGAACTGAATTTAATGTCTATAAACAAATTTCTTTGCATTGAGAAGTTGATCTGAGGTGACCCAAATTTGTAGGGGGTTCATTCTAAGAGATACCAAAGTAGGATTAGCACTCAGTGTATCAGAGTAGCCAGGTGCATCAGAGAGTTGACCTGGAAAGAGACCTCATAGTGCAGAATTGCACTTCACAAAATGTCAGTGGTAGCCCTGACGTGTAAAGGTGGTTGAACCAACTTTGCTTAGGATGTGTATTTATGGGATAACCATATAATAAGAAGCTATATAAGTATTCCAACGAAGATGGAAAAGACAGTGTTTCTCACCTCCTCATGAGAAGATGATCCACATTCAAAGAAAGCTCCCAAAACCACACACCAATATTAATTGATCAAGTTTAAGAAGTGAATAAGCAATAATTTTACATATGTAAGATTTAGTCTTTTCTTCTTATTAGTCTTTACAATGTTAGTGTTAGACATTATAAACCAAAAATATCATATATATATATATATATATATATATATATATATATATATATATATATATATTTAAAGAAAAACAAACCACTTTAAGGCTCCATTGTAATAGTATATTTCACCAGAGACCTTTTAAAGTACCCAGGATCCTCAGACATCACTTCCAAAAAGGTGAAACGAAAAATGAAATGAAAATTTATACTTTTGATGGGTAGTATTAAGTTTATGTAATTTAACAGAGAGGGTAGCGAGGAGTAGTATATATATATATATATATATATATATATATATATATATATATATACAAATATAAAAAACAAAGAGTAAGATTTCAGCATTGAAAACATCAATTTAAAACAGGGCTCAATACAAAAATAGAGTAATAAATATTTATTTATTATGCAGTGTTATATTAGAACATGTACATACCCACTACAAAACTGTACATCTTGTTTCAACATAAAAAAAATTTCTCCACATGTAAATTCTTTTTTACCTTTTCTGGGAAACTTTCCAATGGTGGAAGTGGAAGATGTGCATTGTTAACTGTATTTCGAAATAAAATATTTTAGTAGCATTGTAATTTCCCACCTGATGAGACATTTAAAAATATTTTTAATGCTGAAACAAGTTGTACAGTTTTGTAGTGGATATGTACATGTTCTAATGTAATACTGCATAATAAATATATATATATATATATATATATATATATATATATATATATATATTTTGGACACCGGACAATTCACTTTATATATATATATATATATATATATATATATATATATATATATATATATGTGTGTGTTCTTCTGACAAATGATGTGCCAATGTGTTAGATTTAGTTTCTTCAACTTGGATTGAAAGTCAAAAGTGTGTAAGAAAAATGCATTGGGAGATTTGAGGATAAGAGGGGCAATAAATTAAATTACCTCATAAGAATTTATGACAAGGGATCCAAAAGAGTTGTCTGTTTTTTGAGAATTGTGAGATTAGTGCAACCTTTGCCTTCATCACAACATTCACTATTACTGCGAAACTCACAAATTGACTCTATCTACTTTGATGATGGCTTAAAAAATTTTAAATCCTGGACCATATTTCTTATAATTTTCTTCTGAAATGAACTTTGGCAACATTCTGATGGAATTTCATCCTTGTCTAAAAAGGATTATTTGTAATTTAAAATTGTTAATTACTAAAATTAATAGATAAAAAATGTTTGTTGTCTTTAACAATATTTGCTTTAAAGAACATTTGCTGCATAAATACACAGAATATATATATATATATATATAGGTAAAATTTGAAATTGTTAGAAAGTTCTGTACAAAAACTTATTGTATGGAGAAAATAATATCTAGAAAAACACCTAATATTTATGTGTAATATTTATAATACATGTATTTTTACAGAGATGGAAAAATTAAAATTGTTTTACTTATCTCCACTTATAAGTAAAACAATTTTAATTTTAATATTTCGCTATAAAAATACATGTATTATAAATATTATATATAAAAACATATAAATCTTAGGTGTTTTCCTAAATTGTATTCTGGCTCTCTCTCTCTATCACTGTCTCTGTCTGTCTGTCTGTCTCTCTCTCTCTATCTATCTATATGAATAATTTTATTATAATATTATATATATATATATATATATATATATATATATATAATATTATTATAATATTTTTATTATAATAGATTATAATAAAAAACATTTTACATTGCTACACAAAAGCTTTCATGTTTCAATACCTCAGGTGATGGTAGATAATTTATAATAAAAATGATTTATTAGGGAAATTTAAAAACAAATCCTTACCCCTTTTCAGAAGTTAAAGGGAGCTTAAGATCAGAATTAAAAATATACTTGTGGGTATGTCAAGATTAACCAATTAAAAGTCAGATCTGTGGTAAATACTATGACTGTACTTCCTTGTATATATATATATATATATATATATATATATATATATATATGTATGTATGTAGATGAGGTGCTCACAAGAAGTGTTAAATGTGATGACAAACAAATTTCTTTGCATTGAAAACACCCCAGCTTCAAGTATGCATTCCAATTTTGAATTAAGATATTTTGTGAAAAACAACTTTTGGCAGGTGAAGAAATATTGGAAAAAAACGACAATGTTGAAAAATATTGAACTTGCTCTAACACCTATTTTCTGTTGCTAGCTTTAAAGTATTAAATTACAGTGTCTGGATAAGATGTTTCCCCCAATATGAGTGGAGCACAAATTAATGATGGAAGGTATTAATGTTTTATTATGATTTATAGTTTTCCCAGCACAACAGATGTCAATTACACTGTTTAAAAAAAAACATGGTTGCTTAATACACTAAATATAATATGTATATATATCATGTTTAATCTACTAAATATATATATATTTGTATATATATATATATATATATATATATATATATATATATATATAATATAGTTTTAAGGTGTGCTATATTTATGGGATAAAGTGTTCAATATCAGAGATAGAGTGTATGTAAATATAAATAAATGGCAGCCTGATGATTGTGCCCAGCATGAAACAGCCTGTCACCTCTGAGTGTTGACTTTAATGTTCACTTTTATATATATATATATATATATATATTTTAAATCCTTGGGACTACACATACAGATTACCAAGTTTTTCATAACTTATATATATATATATATATATATATATATATATACAAGGTGCATGAAAAATGTAATCACTCTTTAAATGACAATAAATTTAGTGTTTATTTACTTGCAAACAAGATTAATGGTTAAAATTAAGAAATATTAATGTTTATTCACTTACAAAGAAGATTAGTAGTTTAACAGTTTAAATTAAATATTAAATGAAATTAAATGCATCAACATGAAAAAAGAAAAAAATTATAGAATTTGTAGAAAGCCAAAAAGTAAATATATTTTTATATATATATGCTAAAAATATAATTTTAAGCTATACTATATTTATGGGTAAAAGTGCTCAATATCAGAGGTAGAGTGTATAGAAATGTAAAATTAGACACTGAGGTCAACCACAAGTGGCAACAGTCTATTTCATGCTTGAACGCAATATTGTGTTCAAACATAAACAGACTATCATTGCTTGACTCAGTGACTAATTATTTATATATATATATATATATATATATATATATATATATATAAGATTTAAGAAGCAGCAGATATTTTTATATATAGTGCTCAATATTAAAAATATTAAAATAATATAAAAAATAGAGCATTGATAATATTATATGAAAAGATTACTTAACTTTTATATATCAATTTTATCCTGACTTCGAAGTTTCTTGGTAAAATTTCCAGTCTTCAGGGGTTCTGGTTTTAAATGGTATTTCCAATTTTTTCAATTTGTTCCATATATATATATATATATATATATATATATGGAGATTCATTTTCACTATTGGATAGGGAAATTTCATTATACAATTGATAAATAAGAAAAAGTATTCTTCCTGCATGTATTGATATTTTACTTCTAGGAGGATGGCTGTTGTAACTACTCTGAATTTCTCTATGATTCCAATGGCTATTTACAGTATCAGAAAACAAAAGGTCTTGTGAGTATTCTTTCAGCAGAATGCAATTTCCACTTGGTACCCAATATTATAACAAGGCATTCTGATTCACTTTAAATTTGGTTATTAGTTGCAATAGCTAGTAGCAGAATGATTATAAAGCTTTTTCACAGTCAATATTTAAAGCAATGAACATTCAAAATATCTATATTTCACAATGGTGAAGGTATGTAGTGTCACAGATTTTGTCTGGAGGGTCACTTTTAGAAAGCAACATTTTATCTCACTGGTGCTGTCATTTTTTTTTCTGGGTGTCCAGCTGTTGATACCCAGTTCCTTTTTTTTTTTTTTTTTTTAATTTGCTTCTTGCTTAAAATTTATCTTGATTTTATATTTTTATTTATAAGGTTATTTGATTATCCCCCTTGCTTTTTGTTGTTTTTATTGTTTAATTAAATCTGACTTCATTTTTTATATATATTGATTAAATGTGTTGTTCATTCTATCTATCTATCTATCTATCTATCTATCTATCTATCTATCTATTAAGGAAAAACTTAATGCATCATTGAAAACATGATTATAAATTATAATTTATTTCTATGGGTAAGTTTTTAATACGTGTCTCATCAGACTGAAATTACAAAGATTAGATTTGTAATTTTTGGTCTGATGAAATTGGCATTAAGACCTTATCCATTGAAATAAATTATATTTTATAATCGTGTTTTTGATGATGCATTAAGTTTTTCCTTGATGTATATCATATTGCTGTATATTGAGCTCTCTTTATAGATGTATCTTTTAAATATTTTATATTAAAAAGACCTACTTGGATTATCCTTTCCATTTACATATTTGATATTATATTATATTATATTATTTCGGTCAGAAAAACACATTTATTTCATCATACAGCCTGATGATGAATGCGTGAAGCACTCAAAAGTACTAGCTCAATTAAAAAATACACCATATCCATTTTATACATAAGGATCTCATCATTCAGTGGATTATTAGTAGTATAATGCTTATAATTATGTCTACTAGCGAAGGGATTTTGCCAATAATTGCATTAATATTGCTAATTGATTCAAGGTATGATTAACTCTTTGTAATATATATATATATATATATATATATATATATTACTTAAACATTATTTTTAGTGGATATACATAATTTTCTTTAATAAGGTTTTTTGGATGTTCAGGCCAGCACATGAAATAAAATACTGTTTGAAAATAAATAGAGCAGCTACTCAAGTATATCTATCCACTAAAAATAATGTTTAAGTAATAAGAATATGTCAGATTAATAAATAAAAAAATGGATTAATTCTTTTGAAATTGCATTATTTACATTTCAGATAGAAAGTGATCAGTTATGACTCTTGAAGAAATCTGAATGAGTAATGTGTGATTTAAAGACATATAGAACTTTAATTGATTGTGAAGCTCTTCATAACCAAGTGATAAAAACATGTCAGATCAAACAACGGTTTCTTCTGTAAAGGATGGTGTAGGTTCGAATGCTGCCAGATGGAACGTTTTCTTTAATAAGGTTTCTCAAATGATCAGGATGGTAGAAATAAATAATGTTTAAAAATAAACACAGTGTTTACTAAGATATGTGCATCCAATAAAAATAACAATTAAGTATTAAAAATATATATGAGAGTGTGTGTGTGTGCATGTGTTTTATTTATATATATATGAAAAGTGTATGTATATTAATATATATATATATATATTTGCAATATATTATATATATTATTTATATATTATATATTTTTTTTTTTAAGCATTACACCCCGAGCAAGGCATGAAGCCACTAGGATGCAGGGGGTTGCAGAAGATTTAGAGCAAGAGCAGATAGGAGTGATAGAAGAAAGGATGAGGAGAAGGATAGTGGATAGATCAAGGTAACTGGAGATGTCGATTGACATTACATTTGAATAGTTGGAGATTATAGCTCTCAGGGAAACAGTAATTGGGAAGGGTGTTCCACAGGCGAGAGGTGCAAGGTATGAAGCTATTGGAGTAGAAGACGGCTACATTTAAAAGTTTCTACAGTGTAAAGGTGGGAGCGGGATGCCAGCCTCGTAGGGCGCTTGAATTCATGGTGTCTGAGAACCAGTGAAAGCAGCTCATCGGAGCAATTACCATGAAAGTATTTGTAGAAAAGATAGAGAGAGGCGACGGCGCATCTGTGAGAGAGTGACTGCAGACGAGATGCCAGATCAGGGCCAATTATACCAGATCAGGGCCAATTATAATGCACGGTACTTATTGGAAAGCGCTCAATATCAGAGATAGAGCTAACATATTTAGTTCGATTGATGTGAGTTTATATATATATATATATATATATAGGCAGTTGGATTGATGTGAGCTTATATATATATTTAGGCAGCATTTCTTCAGTTTCTTGATATTAAGGTGAAATTCATGAAGCAAGGTGCTGTAGTTTTTTTTAACCCAAGTACTTTCAGTTTTTCTATGATCATCTTCAAGGGTAAATTACAAAGACAAATTTATTGTAACTGCGATAAAATCTGCATTCCATTGTGATGGCGGTTTTTAAAAACAGGCAAATGCGCTGTGTTTCATCTTAATATCAAGAAACTGATCAGACAACTGGAAAGGCTCAGTATAAAAATAAGTAGACACAATATGTCTATATCATTCAATGAAACATGTTTGAATGAAGATATGCTGCCTAAATATATATATATATATATAAACTTCTATGCCATTTGGGACTTTATTGTATAATTGCTTGTGACATTTGTTGATTGTAACCAGATTAAAAGGTCATTTTACGTGAAAGGCTAACACAGGCATTTATAAGATAAGCATGTACAAAAAACATTAATAATGATCAAAATACATAAACGTGTAGACTATTGTAACTAGTGTAAATAAAGCAGAAACATGTCTGCATATTACTGGTCAGAAAGAATGATTTGGTTGATTCGTTTTTTACAGCTTATCAACCTCTTGCAGTTTATTTAATGCCAGAAAATATTTTTAGATTTCAGAACGTTTTTCTTTTAATTTGAGATAATAATGGTTTAGTGATATAACTTTTACTAATTAACCCATATCTGGGGAAAAGAGATAGATTCATACCTTTTACTAGGTTATTTGCATGTAAGTGAATATAATGAACTCAATACAAATTGGAAATCAGCTCTCCGATTAAGAGTTCTGAGCCATTATCCATTACATCACCTACACATCGACACTTACAGAACCTGGTATTCCTAAGTGGTCACCCATCAAGTTACTGACCAGGCTCAGTGTTGCTTAACTTTGGTGATTGTATGGGAACTGGTGTTTCAACGTGATGTAGCCATAATCCTTGGTTAGAAAGAATATGTTTTTACTAATGTTCACTCTGTACAAGACTCAAGAGCCAGTCAAGGTAGAGGGTTACTGAATGAAGTGTATGATATGAATGTAAGAGGAGGAAATAGGAAAAGAAGATTATGTGGATATGGTGGATAAATAGTGATTGACCCTAGACCTGAAGAGGATAATATTAAAGTATTTAGGAAAGAATTCACACAGAAGTCTGTTCTTCAAAATAGTTGTTCATGAAAAGAAGCCTGCTGAGTGCAACAATCCTCTTACCAATAGAATACATAGTGAATATGGTTTATTTAAGTGACACTATCTGCTAAAAGTTTTCATGGCCAAATCAGTAATGGTCTTGTCATAAGTTAGGTTCCCAAAGATAAAGGATGCATCTTGATTATTGTTTATTTCCAATCTGTGCTACTTATTTAATAAACATAGAAAAACAAATTGAGAAATGCAATACAAAGCAAGAAATAAGATGAATAATTTAAAAAAAAAAAAAAAGAGTCATAAATTCATTTCTGTCATGAAGAGTGATCATAATTTACGCTATTTACATTTAAACTATTATCGTCATTGTGGCAATAAAATAAGCATATCCCCTCTCCCCTCTCACTTTTAATCATTCACTATAATAAACATTCTCAGTGCTAAAGCTGAATTAGTCAAATAAAGCTTCATAAGCTTTTACTTACAGTTGTTGCTATATTACGGTCATCTTTGTTGTTGTTATCACAATATTTCGGCTGTTGCACCCTTCGGCCTTCATCAGGTATATATTGATGCTGGCAACCTACAGGGAATTCCAAACTGAACTCTTTATTTAATCTATGGGGGTACATTGTTCTTGTTCCACTGCCCGTGTCTTGGGATATCTTGTCTAGTTCTTATTTTTAGTACTGCTCAGTTATTGCTTGCTCTGTTTCTACTGAGTCCAAATACACACTGTCCAGCCCAGGGATTGAACTCACAATTACTATGCCACCAAATTCACAAATTAACACTTTAATCCACTAAGTGGATCAAAATTTTGGTTCATGAATTTGTTGGTTTGTAAATTAATTCACTAGGCTATTGTAATAGCATATTAAATGTTGGCTTGTGAATTTGGCGACATTGTAAATGTGAGTTCAATTCCTGGGCTGGGCAGTGTGTACTTGAACTCAGTGGAAACAGGGCAAGCAATAAAATCCTTTTCGCCTTTTGTGCAACATTTCTATACTGCTTGATTTTATCTTTCGTACATTCCAGTATTAGATTAAGATTCAAATGAGTTGGGATGAAAGGGATCAATTGTTATACAGTAACATTTGTAAAGCAGAAAACAAAGGATGCACATTATCTTAAATAGATTTATGTCAGTTGTGAAGAATAATTCAATCTGTAATAGGTGAAAATCAGGACTTATAGCAGATAGTATGACACTGAAATCTGAAGGTGCATTGGGATAGTGAAAAATACCTTCCAAAAGCTAAGCAAAGTATTAAGAAACAGGAAAATTTTATTAGAAACAAAGAAAAGAGTACAGAACTATTAGGTAATATCAGTCTTCCTTTGAGTCAGTGTATGTAGAATATTTACTAAGTTGGATCATCATAACACTTTGTTTTTCTGAAATCATTACTAATGTCTTCGTTTTTGAATAAAAACAAATATGAAAAAAAGTGATAATTATCATAATAGTTTTCAAAATATTTTATATTCATTTAGAGCACAGTGGATGCAGCCAAGCTACCAAACATTCACAAAAGAGACCAGGCAAGGTTAAGTAGTGAGCCCTTGGTAAATAAGGTGGGTGTGAGTTTATTTATTCATCTTTCAAGCACATGATTATTATCCTATGCTTTACCACTGCTAAGGGAGGTAACTTTGTTAAGTTTTGATCATATTTTCTTTCTAAGAAACCAAACCAACTGGACAATTTTCCTTTTTTTTTTTAAGCATTTCACCCCAAGCAAGGCAGAAGTGTCACTAGCACACAAGGGGAGTGGGAGCAAGTGTAAAGAGGCGTGATAGAGGAAAGGATGAAGAATTAGATCAAGGCATCTGGAGATGTTGATGGACATTGCATTTGAATAATTGAAGATTATAGCAATCAGGGAAGCAAGTAAGAGGAAGTGAGTTCCACACATGGGAAGTGTGAGATGAAGTTATTGGAGTAGAAGAGACAGCTACATTTAACTGTGAAAAGGTGGGATTTAGATGCCAAGCTAGAAGCATGCTTAAGTTCATGTAGTTTGGCAACCAGTGAAAGTAGCTTGTTGAAGCAGTTACCGTGAAAGTATTTGTAGAAAAGACAGAGGGAAGCCACATCATGTCTGTAAGAAAGCGACTGTAGATGAAATGCCAGATCAGGACCAATCCTGTTGCATGTCCATCTCTGGATTTTGTCAAGGACCTTGAGATGAACAGCAGGGGCTTCAGACCATATATGCCAGCAGTATTCCAAGCAAGGGACTGAAATCCTCAAAATAACAATGATAAACAATTCCATGACTATTGATATTACTAAAGTGAAAAACAAAAAAAAATGCACTGATAAAGATGGACTGATGCATTATACATTATATTTGCTTTTTTGTAAAACTATAAAGGTTTTATAGCTTCATGATTAAAGTAGCTGTGTGTGTTCCTATCTTGAGACAAAAGGGATTGTGAGTGTTTGTGTGTCTGTGCCTATGCGTGCATATTACAATGCTACCTTACCTTGAATTTAGCATAAAATTCAACTGTTCTGCACATACTGCACCCTACTTTATTTGAAATTTTTATAACATTTATGTCAAAATATATTTTACTTGAAGGTTTATTTAATTTAATTAAAATTAAATAAACTTAATTTCATCCATTTTTCCAATACACAATTAAATTTTTTACATTTTGACACAATTTATACTTTCAAAGAAAAGAGTTTTTTTCTGAAATGCCAAATTTCAATAAAGAAATAAATTGTCAATAAATTCAATAAAAGAAACATTGTTCCCTCATCCAATTACCTCCCTTGGCAGTCCTTTTCACCAGGAAGCTTTCAGTTTTAGCCGGGTTGGCTGCAGTAGTGAGTTGCACCAAATGCAATTATTTTATTTATTAGAGTCACTGTAACAAAATTCCAATAAACATTTTAAATCATTTTTTCCATTTTATACACTATTTATAAACTTTGAATTATGTTTATAGACCAAGAAAATAACAAGAAAATGAAATCAAATGAATTTGAATTGTGAGAATAAGAAACACTTTACAAATTGCCAAGAGAAATTTACCTTTTTGACTGTCTTAATGCAATATAAATTGGCCATTTAGCCTAATGACATAACCTGGTAACCTGACATAATAACATGGTTTGATTAACTGGATAATAATGTGATTTGGTTACCTGGCTTAATTACTGTTGTGGTACGATCCACCTAATTTACATAGTGGAGTACCGACCATATAAATATGGTTGGTACCGGGAAGACGAAGGAGGAAGAAGAGATCCAATCCAGAGACTCTGCCCGACTGGCGACTAAGTCAACCCATTCTACAGGAACGGTCTTCCCAAGAATATACCAAACTATCTGTAAATATTGTGTACACATTCTTGTGTCAATACATTTTGTTTAAGTACATTTTGTGTTGTATTATTATTATTCCATGCTTTATTCAAGTTTCAACAATTACATGATTTGGTTACCTGACCTAATGTCATGACTTGATTAACTAGATAATGATATAACTTGGTTACCTGGCCAAATGATATTACTTGGATATCTGGATAATGCAATGATCTGATTACCTGGCCTAATGACATGATTTGCTTACCTGTCCTAATGACATGACTTAACTGGATCATGATATGAATTGGTTACCTGGCCTAATGACATGACTTGATTGGTTGTTCAAAGGACATGACTTAATGACATGACTATGTTACTTATCAAAATAACCTGATCTAATAACCCTACTTGGTCACATGATCTAATGACATGACCTGGTTACCTGGCTCAGTGACATTACTTAGTTCCTTACCTGAATTATATGATCTAGTTGTATAACATTAGGCTAAGCTGAGCTTAGTCTGACACAAAGTGAAATGAAAAAATGTAGCAGAAAGATTGTGAAAGTCTACCTGTTTTGGGAAACTCAGTATTAAAAATAATTTGTTATATGTAGGTTCAAACACTGACCATAGACTCTGTTGATAAATCTTCATCAATCAATAGTCAGGCTACAGACTCATTCATTCATGCCATTTAATTATTCAAATTTATTGTCATTAAAAAAAATATACAATTACTTTGGGAGATTCAGATGTAATGAAGAACAACACCTATTCTAGTATAATAAACATCAACCACTTCTTATAAAATAATTATTAACCTTTTCTTATAGAATAGTTATCAACCTTTTCTTAGTTATTATGATATAATTATCAAGCTCTTATAGAATAGCAATCAATTAGTTATCAGGGAATACTTATCAGCCTCTTATAGAATGGTTATTAACTTCTTAAAAGCAATTATCAACATCTTCTTACAGAATAGTTATCAACCTTTTCTTATATAATAATCAACCTCTCCTGACAATAATTATCAACTAATTCTTGTAGAATAATTTTCATCATTTTCTTATCATGTAATAGTTATCATTCTCTCCTCTTGAATAGTTATAAACTACTTCTTATAAAACAGTTATCAATCTCTTCTTATAGAAGAGTTATCAACTTGTTCTTATCATGTAGTAGTTATCAACCTCTTCTCATAGAATAGTTACCATGTATTTATCATGTATTAGTTATAAACCTCTTCTTATAGAATAGTGATCAACGTCTTACAAAACATAGGTCAACATCTTCTTATAGAATAGTTATCAACCTCTTGTTATAGAACAGTAATCAACCTCTTCTCATAGAATAGTTATCAACCTCTTCTAATAAAATAGTTTTCAACCTCTTCTTATAGAACAGTAATCAACCTCTTCTCATAGATTAGTTATCAACCTCTTCTCATGAACCTCTTCTTATAAAATAGTGTATAAACTCTTCTTATCATTTAATTGTAATCAACCTCTTTGTATATCAAACTCTCTTCAGGTTTGATTCTCACAGGGTTTATCCCAATGGAAACACTGTGCCAATCTATGTTAAATAAACAATTTCTTGGTTGTTCATATCAAGTATAGAATAAAAAGGGAAGACATATTGAAAATTATTTTCAAAATAAGAAAAAGATGGTACAATTTTCAGTCTTGTTTACTACTTTAGTTTTTTTAAAAATAATTTTCAACATGTCTGCTTGTCATGCTCTGAGCACCAAGAAACTGTTTAAATATTTGTGGAAAAGGCAAACGAAAATTGAGATTGAAAATCATAGTAAAATGTTGAAAATAAAAGGATTTATACTACATTTTTCATATTTTTTTTCTTCTTTTAAAGCAATTTTTAACATGTCTCCATTTTTCATACTATACTAAATACTGGAAGATGCCTTAGTTTAGTGCAGTTGTTAGTCAACTAGTTTCACAGGCCATTACAACTATGCTTGAATTTGACCATTTTTAAGTGCTCCACACATGACATACTGCATCAGATTAAGCTGAGTAAAGAACTTTGGGGTTCCTCACCTTGGAGTGATAGCTAACAAACTATTCCTTGTAAACCATATACTAATGTAATAAGTGAATGTGGACTGACGACAAAAACTGCTCAAGATCCCTCAACATTTTCTCTTTTTAGAAATACCTTAGGCCTTGACCCCATTCCCAAAGGGGAGGAGCCTAGAAAGTGTATATTATTTTTTAACTCCCCCCTGATAAAACTGTGCCAGGTAAATAATAAGTATCTATTGTAATAAAGTAATAATAAATATTCTTTGAGTGCCCTACTATTGTGGCCTTGGGCCAGACTAAGCTAAGCTTAGTAAGTAGCTTTGGAGCACATGGCTCTAAAGAAGGAGTAAGCAAGCTTATCTTGCAAACTATTACTACTGTAGTGAGTTCATTCCTCACTGGGTACCCATATATCTGACTTTGTGCAACACTGAGCTTACTCATGCTACCTCACTGTGGAGCAAGCCATTAATATTTCAGCAAGTTTAATCCTAAGTGCTCAACATTTATGACCTTGTGACAGACGGAGCTAAAACTTTCCTGACTGTATCTTAGTTTTGTACTCTCACAAAAATTCATCTGCATGATTTTCTTGCATTTTATTATATAAATAATTATCCATTTTTATTGGTTTAAATTTAACGCAATTAACTGATTTCTTTTGTAAGATTTCTTTTAAAAATATCCCCATTCTGTTATGGAAGCATTAAAAGCTAAAAATTCAATAGGTTTTTATCGTTAATATATCATATTTCCTGTATACTAAGGCACATTTTTCCTGAAAAATGCCCTCAAAAATCACCTTGCATCTTAGCACTGAAAGATCAAGTTGTAGAGAAGAATTTGTGGCAATCTTGGACCTTTGTGTCTGCAAAAAACAGAGCATCAAAAGGACATTTTTTCTCTTGACACCATTATTATTTTGACTACCTTCACTCCTCAGCAATTTTTATTGTTTTAAAAAGTGATGATTAGAATTTTAATAAAACCAAAACATATAATGAAAGTGAATTTATACATTTCTTGTTCTTGAGAATTTACAACAATACTATTAAACACAATTTACTTATTAGATTTTTTATTTACAACAATAAGTTTATATTTACAACATTCTAAAAAGTAATATAACTGTATTAAAACTGATGCGCTGCAATATTTATTATTTACAAATTTATAAAGAAATAAATATGAAAGCAATTTTT